GCTTGTTGATATCTGTCCGCTTGCAATCCTCCTGAAGAGACTGATTATTCTATGTGTATAATAGATGGGTAGGTAGATCCGTGCAAAAAAAATTGCTGTTTTTGGAGATAAAATCACTGTAAAAAAAAAAATCCATAACCTTTCAAACGTGTGGATTTTTAAATGCTGCCAAAATGTTGGCTGTGCTTTCCCAATTGACAACGAAAGAGGGCACTTTTTGTATATATGTGTGCGTGCTTAAGTGCATGAATGTTCTTGTGTCATTTTGTACATGCCGTGTACAAAATCAGATAGCATTTGAAAGCGAAAAAATATATTGCCGTAGGGCACATGTTCCTTAACTTTTATCTGTATGGTTATCACGCATAGCATGCAATATTTATTTTCCTTATACATTATGCACTGGCAGGCTCAGAAATAGGATTTAGTAAGCTCACCCAACCTTTAATGTGCCTCAGCCTATCAGTTTATGAAGTGGTCATGCCGACTATTTATATTAATATTTTAATAACTTCAGGGAGTTATTTATTTCACCCATGCATCTACCTGGAGAGCATAACTATTCCCAAACAAATTACCTAATATGCATTTACATGGGAATGTTTTTTTTTACTCCACACGTAATGTATGAAGTAAGAGTCAAGAGTTTTCACAGCTGAATTCCAAGTGTTTAATTTTCATTATAGGCACCTCCAGGCGTTATGTTCTTTCTCAATTATGGCATTACTCTATCACTAGAAGACAAAGATGGTCAATAATCTGAATGTCAAGTCTCAGAATTTTTTTCAGGGGCCCAGTCTAAAACCTTAGCAGACTGAGCTTGCAATTCCAGAGGTCACGAGGTCAATCTCCCGTCATGGCTTTTGAAATAATGGGCAAGCTTCTTAATCCCCCTGCCTCTGTCCAACCAGCAGTATCAACTTCTTTGGTTCTTTCGGTAAAGTCACGTGGAATGAGAATACTGTCGTCCCGACAGTTCTGTTCTTTCACCTGTTGAAGGCTACTTGTGTTGTGGCCGAAACGTCGTGAGAATTTTATTGTCTTATTTTATTTTATTATTTTATTATCATTCTACGTGACTTTACCGAAAGAACCAAAGAGGATGAATCCTTGCAGTCACGAAAGCTTTAAATCGAAATTCAGCAGTATCAAGTCGGCCAGTGGGTCGTGTGGTGGAGTAAAGTGTGGGTAAGATGTGTGTACTGCCACCTCTTGCAAGACATCTGGGCCATCTTCCCAGCAGTGGTGTGAGCAAATAATTGCACGGCTGCATCTTTACTTGTTACGAATACATTATGCATTTAGGTTACTAGTTTGAAGCATCTACGGTTTGCATGTTGTATCTCTTCAGCACACTAACGCTTGCAGGGGTTCCTTTGTTAGCTACATTTGCGATGAGTAAAGCATTATGCACCGCTGCTAAAATGTCACAACAAATCACACATCTCGGGCAGTTATCTGGCTTTAAAATTACATGCATTTTAGTGGATCATATTCCAATGGCTTTGTAGTGAAATTGTATTCCAATAATTTACTTTGTATTCCAATAATTAACAACTTTAATCAAATGCAAGTTAACAATAAGGCAAACGTGCTTTGATTACCGATCATTTCAGCACTGCGGTGGCAAGATGTTAACTACCTCGCTTGGTATAGAGGAGGTCATAGGTTCAACCCCGACCCTTACGCCTGTATATTTGGAGTTTGTATGTTCTCTCTCCCCGTAGCCGCGTGGATTTTTCTCCCGGTGCTCCTGTGTTTTTCTCCATGTTTAGAGTATTTGGCTTTTGATACATTTCCACATTCTAAGCCACATCGTTGAGCTAAGATTTGTGGCCAAGTCGCTTCTGAAAAAGATGTATGTAGCTCAGTGGGCCATACCTGGTAAAATAAAAAGTTCATTTTAGTTTATTTCTGCTGTGACAACCGTAGTACAAATAAGTGATGCAAACACAGGTCGATCCATGTATAGATACCCCACTGATTTCTAATTGCCCTCTTACTTTCTGCTCCACAGAATATCTTACAGAGATGGCTGTGTTAAAATATGTAATAGATGCATTGAGATCGGTGAAATTTTGGTGTCTCCATAATTAAAACCGACCATTTTATTGTGATATTTAGAAATGTTTATATAGGAACATCATTCGCAACTTATAAACACGATACTTTATAACATAATTAACCTCCACTTTCAACATCCAACTGTATACATGTTTTTTTTTAGCTGCACCTGTAGATAATGTATGTAATATGCATTGGGCTCTATGGTGCAGAGTCTTGATGAGGGAATTCTTCACATCAATTCCATACACCCAGCCATCAGATTTACCATGGAAGTCGGAAAAGATGGCAAGCTACCTTTTTTGGATGTCCTAATAAAAAAGAGACCTGATGGTTCAATGAGCCACTCTGTCTACAGGAAAACTACCCATATGGATGCTTACCTGAAACCGGATTCCCACCACCATCCATCCCAGAATAATTCCCTCATCAAGACTCTGCACCATAGAGCCCAATGCATATCCGACCAGGAACACATAGCCAGTGAACTCAAGCACGTACACCAAGCTCTTAAGGCTAATGGTTACTGCGACTACACAATCCGCAAAGCTATCACTCCAACCATGAAGAAGGATCCTCTTGAGGAGCCATTCAAAACCATCACTTTACCCTACATTGCGGGGATCACAAAAAAGATCTCCAAAAATATTGAATAAACACAAGATCCAGGTCCGATTCAAAACATTACATAAAATCCGTGATCTGGTTCCGTCTGTAAAAGATGTGATTCCGGACATACAGTACCCTGGCGTCTACAAACTAAGTTGCCTCTGTGGTAGTAGTTACATTGGAGAAACCAAACGACATGTCTCGGACCGCATGCGTGAACACAAAGCAGACCTAAAACACGGTAGGACCAACACCTCGGCCATGGCAGATCACTGTTATAATTCAGTAGGCTCACATGACATTGACTTCTCCAAGACAGAGGTTCTCTGCAAGCCATCTGGCTACCATGAGAGATTCGTTCATGAGGCTATCCACATATACAAACACAGACAATTTCAACCGAGAAGATGGATTCTGGTTAGCAATCATTGGAAGGATTCGATAAACCATTTTAATTGATTGTTCACGCTTACGGTGGCTTTCAGACCGCATCCATTATTTTCGTCTCCCCCCCCTTCTCTTTTCCGAACATAGATGGACTCGTCCATCTGGATAACTGCCAAATCGCTCTCCGTGGTGCTAACGTAAAAAAAACCCACTTTTTTCAAATTGTCTTGCTGTGGTTTTCACACCTGATGATGATTGCTTGTGTTGTAGTCGAAACGTCGTGAGAATTTTATTGTTTTATATTTTTATTATTTTATTGTTTCCCTTCTACGTGACTTTACCGAAAGAACCAAGGATAATAACAAGCTAATTATTTACATTTGCCATTACCTAATACAAATTGAAAAAGAGACTTGTGATACACCTTTAAACATGGATTATTGGACGGCCTGGGAACTGCAGTTTCAAAACATTAAATCAATCCATTGTAACACGTGAAGAAGTCATAGCCAGGTGCGAACCAGTGTGAGGCAGTTAAGGTGGTGATTACTTGGGAAACGGGGTTTGTTATGGCCAGGAAATGTATCATCACTATGTGTTTCATTGTACAGCCTTGTACAGGATAATACTTTGTCTACTTATTTAGAGCATTGTTGTAGTGTTTTCCCATTATGGTGGCTTGTAAAAAGGTTTCATGGCTTCAAGTAGACGAAAAAAATAACATGCACCTTTTATATACTGGATTTTAAAAGGTGCATCGCAAATTTGAGTGAAACCAAAGCCATTGGTGCTCATATTTTAAAGTATGTTTAGGACGCACAATTATATTTAAAATATAAGGTATTCAAAGCAAAATGCATTTCTTATAAACTGTCAGTATTGTGTCACTGAGCCATGAAATTGCAGCCGTGCTTATTGGGATAGAAGCAGCTGCGATATTTTAAACCATTGGGCTATGCATCAGCAAGAAAAACAAAGTTTATACCATCAGGGGGCTCGGGAGACATTGCATTACTAAGACAAATGTGCTGGAAATTCCTACACATGGCTACATTCTGTTTCATAGCCTGCCTAATGGTTCCTGTGCTCACAAACAGAAATATATTCTGCTGCATTCTAGGTTAATGCCGTTTATTTTCGTGTCGAGCCATCAACCTTGCTTTGAATTGCAATCCCTTCTCAAGCTTTACATTTTAATATGCAGTTTGTGTAATGCAGAGCTGCGCGTGCCGCCTAATTCGATGCAATAATCGAATGCTCAAAGAGCCGTGCATAACGAAATGGCTACGTGTTTGGTGCTCTCTTCTGCACGACGCAATTAAACTCTGCAGTCTTCTTGACGGATGGTTAGAAAAAGTAATGGAATTTTAATTGTGCAATTGTGGGTGTTTTGGGTGGATGTGACCACTTGACTGTACGCAGCCGGGAGGTGGCTTGATACCTTGCCCAGATGACCTACACCACCTGCAGAGGTTAAAGTCGCAGCTCACGTGCCATAGTGATAGTGCTTATTAAGGGAATTTGGGACAAACACTACAATATGCAGAAGTTGAAGAGGGGGGGGGGATACACTGGCCTGCAAATGTAATGCCTGTGGAAATATAAAATATTGATCAAATTTTCTTTGGTAGAATTGTGTTTTGGTGACACCAGACTGAAGATAGCCTTAGCAATTTACTTTTATGGTGATTGTTTTTTATGTTATTAAAAAATAACATCAAAACAAGGCTGTGTCAACCTTTTTCATCGTATATATATCATTTTATTCAATTTATTCAGGGGTAAGACAATACTCGATGTGGTGACATTTCGTCTGACAGGATTTTATAACAACTCTTCAGTTGTGATGATGGTTTGTTGATCAAAGCATACAAATATATCATTTTCATATTCTACTGTTGATTCATGCAAATGTGATATTTCGTCTATATTTTTCACAGAATTACCAAGACCTCGAAGGAATGCCTTTTCCAGAAGGCCCATTCCGATCCTCTGTGAGTGCCTTAACTCTGCCTGCAGTTAAGCATGAATAATGTACTTTTGATCAGTGTTATAATTATTATTGTTTATTTATGTTTACGTGCAGTAAATGGATGTCCCATTCATACTGAACCACAATTGTCAAAGAATGCAAACAAAAGTTTTCCCTTAATTAACGTAAAACTAATAAATTATTCATTGCAGTTTCTCTATTTAAACGATCAACAAATTGGTGATGCCACGTTGGCAGTGGTGCACAAGCACAAATAACACAAACAATCTCAACATGTTTGCTAAAAGGAAAAATGTATAATAGGTGACGTTTCGGAAATGACCCTTCCTCATAGCACAAGAAGGGCAATTGCAACACAACGCCACACCCTTCTTGATGATGAAGATGGTGTTGAAAAGTATGAATAAGATGATAGCACCGACAATAATGATATATAGATTATTATTATTATGATGATGATTCTATATTCGTGCTCACGATACTGTTAAATGAATGCTGCTGCACATGATGATGAAGAAGAAGATGATGTTTATGCAGAAGAGGAAGTATTCATCGTAAAGCCACGCTAAGTCTTCAATTCATGTTTAGTGTTTGGCATTTGGGTGGATATTTGAGTACCCAGAGAAAATCGACACATGAGGGAGTTTCATTCAAAGCTCCACTCAGATATAGTCAATAATCCATTGCTGTTCTAAAATCATCGGGCCATCTCCCAGCCCAGCAGGTTTAAGAATTGCTTAAATCACCATATTTGCATAAAACTTCTACAATTGGCAACTCTGCCCTAACTGCAACACACTTTGGGCAATTTCGCAATTGTGCAATAATTCGTGGGGGATTGGTTTTGCTTTTCAATGGCCATGCATGAAATGCCAGGTGCAAAATCTTCTCGATTTTATGTGTAATTGGCCATCATTCTGCGAAAAAAGTGGCAAAACGATGGTCCAAATAGCTACATGAATCAGGTCCTACAAGATGAAAGCTCAACCAGGATTGACTCCGCTATTATCTATATGGAATCAATAAAAAAAAAACACCTGCTGTGTACCTGCTTTGTTGGAATCTAAAAGTGGCTGGCTCGTGGCAAGGCTTCTCCCAACTATAGTTGTGTGGATTTTCCACCACTGGTTTAGAACTATGACCAAATGTAACCGCTGGCCAATGGGTTATCATACTGATACTCATTTGAAAAAAAAAAAGGCTGATTCATTCTTAGAGAGGCAAAATCTACATCCATAATTAAAATGTATGGTTTGAAGTGCAAAAACCTGCTGCTAAATGCTGTTACTTTTCATTATCCAAAGTGCAGTGAATGTCAGAACTGCAGATGTTAATTCAGTAGGATATAAAGGCTGTAAATGTTTATTTTTTACCTTGCTAAATTACCTTTTCTGGCATATAAACCTTTGGCTACAACATTTTATTTACACGTCATGTTGAAAAGAAAGTAATTATCTGTTAATGCATTTCCATTCCCGTTGTCTAGAGTTGGCCTGGTTATCATGGCGAGGGATTTTTAAAAGGAGAAAAGGTATTTTAATGTTTTTTTTCTTTCAACACAATAATGCTGAAAAATATATTATATATATTTTGAAATGTTAACTATATACAGTAGGTTTGCAAAAAGGGATTATTTACATAAATTAAATGTCTATATATTACAAACAGAGAAATGTCGCAGGGCATCCGATTGCTTTCTGTTATCACAAATCTATTAATAATGTTGTTGTTGGTATTTTATTATTTATAGCCCCTTGCTGGATGAAGGCCTGCCCGTGCTGTGTTGGTTGTGTTGGTTGTTTGACCATGTTGGGAGCGGTATCGTAATGGTTAGCACACTGTTCTGTGAATCTGATGACCCAAATTAAATATCCCCCTCACAACCCATAACAGTAATGAATATTTGAACTCGTCCTGGGCCTTATGTGCTTCTCCTATGGGGGATCTTCGTTTTTGTCTATCGACCATGCTTCACCACGCTGGTCAGTCTGAGTTGGTGAAGAGAGCTAGGGAGACCCATACTTGGATCAAATATCCCTCGCCGCCACTACTGTTAGAGTGGCCAGGAATCGAACTCATCTCGCCGGGTTCATAGTGCAACGAGCTACCCCACGTATTAAACCGTATCTGAGAATGATAAGCCTTTATTAATATGTAAATGTGCCTATTTACATGGGTAAAATAAGGAATGGTGGAATTATTTTGGTAATTTTGGTAAATAGGGGATAGAGCAGTGGCACAGTGGTTTGTGCACTGCACACTGAATCTGGCAATCTGAGTTCAATTCCCAGCCATGGCTACTTCAATAGCGCATGACATCTGAATCGGTCCGGAGTTCCTCCTAACACTCCCATCCCCCACCCACCACTTAGCTACCCGCCTTAAATAACAACGAACCATTTTGGTAAAGTATGGTCAAACAATCCCTGGCGTTGAAATGGCATGCGGCTGCCTTAATCCGGCAGTAGATTAACAAAGGGCTGTAAATATTTATAACGGTCCTTCTATACATGGAGACTGATGAAAAACGACAAAACTAGTTAAACATTTCCAATTAATATGGAAATTGTCACCACATTTTTATTTCTGTTCAAGTTTTACTTTCCTTGTAAGAAATGTAGATACTTTTATAAATTACATTGCCCATGGCAAGAACAGGATGATTATTAATGTCTTATCTTTTATTATGTGCTGTACATACATGCAACTATACATGTAGGATAGAAAAGCGAGAGCAACATCACTTTGTAAAATAATTTCACCGATAAACATGTAAAGGGACCCGTGATGGACTTTTGGCTGAAACAGTGAGTCGTGTGCCCTTGACTTTCTCAGCTTCAATCCATTTGTTGAAACTCAAAATAGTTTGTTTTAGTTCATGCACGAAATGAACAACTTTCTGTTGTGATGATTACTCTTTGGTCGGTTCTCGTGCTATTTGGGATCTTGTGAATACGGGATTGTGTCCTTCTAGGGTGACCAAGGAGAGGCAGGTGGACCAGGCCAACCGGCTCCTCCTTTCTCAAAAGTGAGTCACAGTCTGTGTGCCAGGCCGCTAACAACCACATTCGCACAATCTCCCGGGCGCTGTGCTGCTGTAGCGCGCATTGGCGACTCTAATATGGGTAATTTTTACTTGTCTCTGCATACTGTGCACACATGAGTACACACATGCACACAGCCACCATTCACCACTAAGTGGGGGTGATGTGCATGTCACCGCAGCGCTTGTGGCATGCTAAATGCACCTTGAGGACACGCAAAATATTAAAGACTCGTTGGCAAGATATCACGAGACAGACCCAGGTGTAAAGGGCTCACTGACTAGAATGACTGTCAGGTGTACCAGCTGTACTCCCTACTGTCCCCACTTTGCTGTGTTTTAGCTGCCCCGGTGCTCCACTCGTTGTTGTGAGTGTCGCTCCTTCACTGTTTGTTGTTGTTGGAGGGCGACTGCCTTCACCTTCCCAGTATCCTTCATGAGCCTCCTCCACAGAGGCCGATCTTGACACCGCGTGTACCAATCATCAGAAATTTCAATCAGCTCTACATTCCCCTGAACCACATCAGGCCATCTATTTTCTACTCCATGCCATACCTACTTAGCCCCCTTTATCTCGCCAAATAAAAGCTCCTTGGGCATGCAGTGGCTAGGCATGCAGGCTATGTTACCCAGCCAATGCAGTCCAGCCTGCCGGAGAAGCTCACTTATGGAATTGTGTGCAGATATTTCCAGGTATCTGTGAGGTCCTCTCACAATCCAGCCTGATTAAACCCAGAATGTCCAGAATGGAGTGTAGACATGCGAGCCTGAATGTTTGAAGCCGGAACGGCTGTTTTCTTTAAAGGGGTCCACGTTTCTCAAGCATAGAGGAGAAAGGGCATTACTGTGTTGATACGCTAGGTAGTTTCCACACAGCACAATGCAGTCGCTCAAAAGATAATGCTGCTCGATTGATGCAAATGTAAACCTTTGCTGCTAAACTGAAGTGAGCCATGAGCATGTTTCCCGAGTATGGGATCTCCTCCATTCTTCTTTACAACTGTCACATGCACACACAGACATGCACACTTGCATGCGCACATAATCACAACAACCGCCGTTCGCTACTAAGTGCCGGTGACGTCACCACAACATTTGTGTGCACGCAAAAACACGCGCACAGCAAAGACAAATATCCCTCGTATAGCCTCTAAGAGACTGTTGGGGAAAGTGCTGTTAGCGAGAATCTATGAAAGCCGGCACGCCACACAAAGGGGGTGGGTGGCCAGCACCATGCCCGGTTTGCATTTGTCTCCCTAGTGGAAATGTTTACACACCGCACCAGGTACTAATTTGAGGCTGAGTCGACCTAGAGGAGGCTCAGGTTCAGATAATTGTCACTAGTGTTGGCCGTGAGTGGGAATCGAACTCGGGGTCGCCAGGTTCGTCGCGTAGTGTGCTAACCGCTACACTACCACTCCCCTACATGGGCACACACATGCATACGTATATACATGCACATATACGCGAATACAGAGACCTCTTGGATGTGTTTTTTTTGGCAGGATGCATGCTGGGTTGTCCCCCCAAACTCTTCCCTCCCATCTTTCCTCCTGCTTTTAAATCCTGTGTTGTCCTCCTTTTCTGAAAATCGAAAAATCTTCATTGAGCGATATTGGTTTTCTTGTAATGCTGAAGATTGTTTGTTGCACGTCACATCACAGAGTGGTTCGAGAAATGTGTCCTGAACCCAGCGACCTGAACATGATTCCTGGCCGTGGATAACATCAGTGGCAAGTGATATATGAGTCAGTCCTGTGACCCCCTTCGCCAACCTGTACTGGCCAGCTTGGTGAAGTATGATCAGACCATCACCATGGCTGACGTGGTGTATGGAAGCCTTAATCCAATACTGGATTAACACAGGGTTGTAGATATGATTTAAAAAAAATATATATATATTTGATGATAAATACCAACTTATGATTTGCTAAGATACCAGAAAATATGTGGGGTGTGTGCTGCCAATGCAATGCCTTAATTTTGTATTTGACATTGAATATACATATTCGTCTATGGGGGACAGGTTGACAAATTGAGATAGTAAATTATACTTTGGTATAGCTATAGCGATATCCCCCTGAGCCATAGAGCAATCCTGCATTGCAAGAATGTAGACCCACTGAATGTTATAATGTGATAGCATGAAGGCACTGGTATCATTCTAAGAGCATGCAAAAAAACACAACTGTTGTAATATTTTACATACATCTAACCCAGAATCACAAGATCTCATAACATTTTACTGCAAGTGGATGACGCACACGCATGGCACAAACACCAGTTAATCCAGATGCATATTCCATTGAAATTGCATTTTACGGTTATGCTCCAGTGCACTTAACAAAAATTAAAAACATAACCATAGGTAACATCGACTCGTGTTAACAAATCTTAACATTGCCCTAACCTTGTCATCACATCGCTGTCGACTAGTCGGCTCATTTTGCGCACACACTTTGCACGTTAACTTGTCGCACGACAATTAACATATCTTAGGATGAATGACTAGTTATAGATTCAGGACATTTAAGGTCATTATGGCAAAATCATTATCCGCGGGGACAGGCATGCTTTCTAATTGACATTTTGAAGATGACTCTTAAAACTGAACATGGTGTTAAATGACCTCATAATGCTGGGAAGGTTGTTCCTTCAGAGCTATAGATTTACACTGGAACTATTCAGCAGCCATTGAACTATATTGGCAATCTAAAGGTTACATAGGGAGCTCACTCTACAAGCTTTGCAAGTGAGACCAATACAATCAAACTGTACCAGATAATAACAAAGAATGTCTTCTCACTTCCCTTGTCCACACCGCATTGGCTTTAAAGTCTTATTATTGTCATGTAGTGGAATTGTGTAGGCATGCATATGTAGCCATTCAAATATCCACATATACAATGTTTGCATTTATCTTTGATGTCATGTTTTACATATGTACGTGTGTATAATATGGATAAGCGTAACAGTTGAAGTGGCTACATATATTGCATAGCTATTGTATTTAAAATATACATTTATTAGCTATACTCTTATGTCCCTGAACATCGACATCCCAACTGCACACATATTTTGGGGGGGGGGGGGGGTATTTTACTTTGTGTTATGGTGGTGTGTCTGTATGTCAGCGAACCTTCGACACTTCACTTGACCTCAAAGTGCACCTAGCCTGGCACAAGCGCCCTGGTCTTGTCACCACCACATAGTGGTTAATGGCGGATGTTATGTTTGTTGGTGTGTGTCTCGAAGACAATGCATCGCTTTATCTGTTTCAAAATACTGAATTCAACTTTAATTCCTTCGTCCTTCGTGGATAAATTACACCGCCAATTTGACATCAAGGACCCCCTTTTATTAAGCACACCAACGGACACAAATCCTGGCCTCTGTCCAATCAAGTTTGCACATTATACAACGGTTAACCAAAGCAAAGGTTGTGGTAGTACTATGCATACGCCACATTATTTGCGTAGGTGTTTTAAAGGCGTGGAGATACAGACGTAACTCATGTGACACTACCCTGCAGCCGATTAATAGCTCGTTTTAGTCTTCTTTACCCTCTTTCTTTGAATAGTTGCTTGGCACTTGGTTGTGAGTTTCCTTCGGCTTTACAGCCAACCCGAGTATTCCCTACATCTGTTAATAATTAATTTCACAAATATAATAGGTCTCAGTACCTATAATTATTCATCGGTTATTCATAGAAATACATCAGTCTTAATGGGATTTCATAAGCGATTCTAGAATTTGGAATTTATTCTGAGATCTTACAGCCTGACTAGTAATTGGATGGGATACTGTCTAGGAATATCAGCTATTGTAGTAGGCTTGGCTTGCGAGGTAGCAAAGGGATGGCAGAACAGCAATGAATGCTCGATTATATCAATGCAGAGCACTGAGCACATCCCTGCACGCAAATAAAAAGGGTTTCTAGAGGCACTGACTGACTCCCACACACCAAACAATCATTCATCCATATGGCCAAAAAATCCCGACGATCAACTCGCCTGAAAATGTATATTGAAGCTAAATTAGGCCTTCCTGTGTAAATAAAGAGCATCGCTGACTCTCCGTGATCTACGCGGTGTGGGAGAGGCCTTTATCAAGCGGTGGACGGGTTGGTCTTGGGTGGTGTACAAAGGCTTAAACTTACGGGAGTGCATTGCGATGGAGAGTTTTGATTCAGTATTGCACAGACAAAATAAAACTGGCAACTCAAACAAAGGACTAAATACATATATGGTTTGTGCGTGCGGGGATATCGTATGGTGAATTTTAGAAAACTCACCGAGCAAATGGGGCTAATTGGCAGACCTCTAGGGGATGAGACTGGCAAGGTACACAATGTGAGCGATGTGAGGTAACTATAGAGAACAGGGGGTCAGGTGCACACTGTGTCCATGTAGCAAAGAAATACACTTGGGAGCACGAGCATTGGACATAAGTGGCAATACTAGAAACAACACCAGCATCACACATTGGGTTTGCACACACGCACACTTTGCATGCTTGTGTAGTAGGAAAAATGTTTAAATGCAAAATAATAATAATAGGTTCCGTTTGGCCATACAGACTGTTGGGTGAGGATTTTTTATATTTAATTAATTGCCATTGATGAAGGTGGATGCTGCAATGGGATAATGGTTAGTAGCACGCTGGGTTTCGATCCCGAGGTCGCCGGTTGAAATTCCCAGTGTGTCAGTTGAAACAATGGGGCAAGTTTCTTAAATTCCCCCCCCCCCCTCCACCTGTTTCCACCCAGCAGTATAATTGGGTACACTGCTGTTAGTCGATGGGATGGTCATGGATGGTGAGGTAAAGTGTCGGTACATACACCTCTTCTAAGAATCCTGGCCAGTTTTGAAGAGTAGGCTCTCAAAAGCCCCTGCGATTGAAGGGCCTCATTCCAACGGCAGCATGAAAAGCAATTGCAGGTCTGAATGTTTACATTTGTAATCAATAAAGGTGGGATTCATTTT